ATGAGAATCAATCTCAACAGTATTTATATGGTCCTACAAATGAATACAATCTAAACCAAATTAAGACGTTTGGAACCTTTCTTGAATTGTGACTTGTTTCAAGCTTACCTTAGGGTGATCCAACATGTAAATGTGGATTGGATATTGTGGTCATACGCCATTTTTTTTTTTGACTTTTCTTTCTATTTCTATGAAAGAGATATTCTGTTTGATAATCTCAGCTGGATTCCCAAACTATCAGTTTTTGGAATTGAAACTCTTTCTCATAATCATTATGTGCAAATGATTAACCAAGTCTTAAATTTTATAAAGAGATCAAAACAATTGCTCGTAGTATGATATTAATATATTTAAAACACACATTGTCATCTTTATCATCATCATACTAATCTATGTCGTTTTTTCTTCATCTTCTTTCATTTTTCCAGTATAGTTTAGTTATATTTGTATTGCTTACTTTATATAATACTTGGCAACATTAAATTTGTATTGTTATATATATATACATGTATTGTATTGTGGAGAACACTTTAAAGTATGTTTTACTTGTGCCTGATGCTTTTTACTTTGAGCAAATGAAATATGTCTTAATTAACAAAATAGTAAGCGTACGTCAAATTAAGGATGCTCGAAACAAATTAAACAGCAGTTTTTCACCATGCTTAAAAAAAGAGGAAAATCATTTGTTCACTCGTGAAAAAAACATTCATTGCACAGTTTACAATGGATCCGGATGTTTTAAGTACTGTCACCTACTATTAAACATACGTTCAAAAATCTTCAAAATAAAACAAGTAATAAAAGAACTAAGGTAATACGCCGAGTGCACATAAACAGATTGCAAATTTTTATTGAAAAATTTTATAAAAAGGATAATAGGAAACACCAGAAGTACTGTACGGCACACCAGGCCACACGCACCACGAATTTACAAACAGCCGACGCCTACAAAACGTAACAACGTACAATCAAAGAAAAACAAAATGGCCAACAACATACATCAAACGGTTTAATTTGGTAAAGGAACAAACTGCAGTAGGATTAAGGTAGATAATCATCTTCAAAAATTTAGAAATATTGGCAATTAATGTGTAAGACTGACTAAGGAAAAATAAGTGATTTATTGCATTATTTAAAAAGTTTCAATTATTTAAACATTTTTAATTTATGGGAAAAAAACTGTTTTGTACTGGAATGTTAGTGAAATTTTCTGTTTTTGTTCGTTGCAAGAAAACACATTAGTTGACACTATTTTGTCTTTTTATTTTTCTTAAAGCATAATATTATTATAACACCTCGATTATATCAAAATTATATCTCATAGATTTCTTTTCATTCTCAAAATCTTTTTTTTCTGCATAATCAATGCAAAATTGGGCAATTTTGAACAACTTGTAGCTTGAAAGTTATCACGATGACCCATTATTTTGATTATATGGCACTATCTCTGTTTTGGCAAAGTATAAGAAAATTCTATCTGATAAATATTCAACGATGATCAACCAGAAATAACTTTCACGTGTTCACCCACCTTACACTATCAAGATCATAGGTCGTTAAACTAAAACAAAAAGAAAGTGCACAGTTGAGGTACTTACAGGATGATCACTTACTTCAAAAAGGAAATAACAAATCCTTATACTTTGAAAAGCAGGATCAAAATGAACCCTCGACTACAGGAAGCAAGCTAAGGTAGCTACAGCTGTTGGTCCGATTACGGCTATTGAGAAACCGAAAATCTTCCACGACGTCCCATCATAAAATTTAATTAAGATTAGCTGTAATAGATGGTCAATTATTGTAGTCTGTTTTAATTTTGTTTTAAATCCATTATAAAAATGGCAGTTTTAAATGGAGCTTCCGTTTAAAAAAAGAGTATAGAACAATATTATGGTCCATTGAAATATTTTAAATGCAGTATAACAATAATCACGAAATGCTCAGTGATTTTGAAGAGGGAAGGCGGAGGATAATGAACAAGAATTAAATTATATCTTACAGTTTTGCTCATCATTGAAACTATGCATAGTGATTTTTTTCTCTGTTAGTACAACAATGAAATAATATATTATTTATTTTTAATCACGAAAACGATAAGCGCTAAATAAAAATAAATTTGCAAATATATTTCAATTTATTTGATAATTAAGTGGAAACAAGCTGTATATTTTTGAATTTAACCACTCGGGATCAATAAGACTTCAAAACAAGATACAAGATCTGGGAAAAGTAATATTTTTAATAACTAGGAAACATCACTCAAGTGCACATTTCATTTTCATTAATAATCTGTAGCTGATTGAGAAGATTTTTATTGTTTAAACGACACTCCTTTCTATATTAGGAAATTAATAAATATCGGATTTATTTGCTTCACAGTGTCGGTTAGGTAGAAATATGACTAAAAACATAAAACAATGTTATTTTCTGTTTCTTTCCTTCCGATTCACAGTAATTTCAAGAAAGCTTTGTTTTTATGGTTACAAAACACGGCTTTTAATAATCGAAAACTCAATTTTCAAGACTTAGAGAAATTGATTTTTTTTTCGAAAATATATGTTTGATACTAGTAATATATTTGGTTATTTATTAAGTTGGGTTTATATGTCTAATTAGATTATTTGTATATACAAATGATGCTATCTTTCAAACAATTACTGAACTTTCAAAAAAAAATTTAATGCATTAAAAAAAACTACGCGTATACGTCAAAATTCCTGATAATCCAAATCATTTTTAAATCGTCATTTTATTTTTCATTTACTGTGGATTCATTTATTTTCGTTGGTATCAATTTTCGTGGATTGAGGACATCTTGCATTTTCGTGGATATTTGATTTTGTGGTTTTGTCAATATCCGCATACAATGCTATAGAAAATTTATAATTCGTTGAACATTTTAATTCGTGGATTACCTGTACCCACAAAACCCAATAAAATTGGTATCCAACAAATAATAATGAATCCACAGTATATGCAATCATATGACTGTTATGATTTTTTCAAGTAATTAGGAATATTTCTTCATTTGTATTCTAATATTTCTCTATTGGATACGTCAGATCTATATCAACATGTAACATGCGAGATACTATGAAACTTACTCGCTTAGCTTTAATTAAAGATTTGCCGAGTAAGTTTTAAAAATCTCAAATTTTACGCTAGGCTAAGATAGGAATATTTTTCTTTTCGTAAATTGGCAGCTTAGACAACATAGTATAGGCCTTTATTCATTATTTTTAAAAATGTTCAAGAAAATCACAGTAAAAAAACGTTTGTGAGCATTAAAACACAAATATTATATAAACAGAACAGCGAAAATTATATAAACAGAACTTTCCAAGGACCAGCTTAACTTAAGGGAGTTGTAGACCTGGTTTTAGAACAATTACATAATTTATAGAAATAAAATCAATTTTATTATTCAGTCTACTGTTTGGATAGTAAGCTCGGGGAAAATCAGCTTACTAACAATGGTACATAATCAATGGTACTAATAAACAAATGTGCAATTGCGGTTTAAGTGCACACGACGTGATAACTGAACAAGTCCACTATAGACAAAAAATATGGTCAGACATCACATATGTTACACGTTTATTTGCATCATAACAAATAAAGCATGTTACATTGTAACATGAAATACATGAGTCAAATTTAAGTCAGTTTTAGTACAATTATACAATTTTTCTTTCTCCGTTTCTAATAATCATGCTATTTTGTCACAAGAAAATGATATCCGCAATCAAATATTTTATACGATGCATGATTTTATTAATACAATTTTATGAAACAATTTACATTTGGAGTAACTGTAAAAGATTCCTAGCTTATTGTAATATTTCTTACCTACATAGTTTGTTTGATTATATTCATGTCTTTACAGGTATTGTCGTAAAGATGGCACTGTTTATGGTTATACTGTTGGCAGTGTCTTGTCACCATGCAAATGGCGAACCAGTTTCTTTACCATTAAACATGAATGCACCAATTATGGCACATGTCAATATGAGCAGTATAAAAATGTATATTGATAAAAACTTCAAAGAACGATTACCTGCCTTAATTGAGAAAGACGTTAGGCAAATGGTAAGGTCAGAAATTGAAAGATCAACTGAACATCTTACCACAACTTTGCAAAAGAAAATTGGAAAAACCATAAATAAAACAATGCAAACAAAACTGAACGGTTTCGCTGAGCAACTTAATTCAGTAGAACAAAAAATGTCGGAAATGGTAAAATCCGAAATAAGTGTGATGTCCAAGCAGTTAACCGAAAGAATGTATGAAGTGGAGCAAAAGATGAATGAGACAATGAAAAATGATACGAAAGTATTGTCTAAAGAGTTACAAAAAAGCAAGAATCATTGCAGAGGAATATGTGACACGCGTAAAGGTATGTAAAACATATTTTCATGGTCATAGTATAATTTTACAAAGCATGACTATATTAACGGTGTCCTTTGTAATCAGTTGGAAAATTCGTTGATTCTTCAGGTTGACACAAAACACAAGAGAAAGAATTTAGTAAAAGATTGAGTATTTGAGGACATTAAATCCCTAACTAAATAACTTACCACGTACAAAAATGTTACGTTCAGGATTAAGGCGAAAAATATCATTCAAAAAATGATCCCATATTGAGAATGCAAAACAAATGACAAAGAAAAAAGTATTGTTATTAGTCTCATACGTAGTAATATAAAATGTGTATTTATATACCGTTCCGATTTTGAATTACCACATAAGTCGTATACAGTTGTCAAAACATTATCAAATATCATATCGCTATGTAACCTGTACATTTCTATCGTTCCCCAAACGGTATTCTGGTATTCCCGATAATAAATAAAATTAAAAATCTTATATTTTTCTTTCTAAATGTGACGTTCTTTTGCACATCCATTTTCGTAATTTACCTTACAAAATTATAATATTATTTTTATCATTTTTTTTCTATTTGCAGGCTTTTATAGATATGCAGCTATATTTACGTCTGTTCATCCGAGTACAACACCAGAGTTGTATATTCATGGACACGACAATGGAACCGTAAATATTGAATCAAACAGTTTTAATACTAAAAGGTCAATTACTAAAGGAAACAATATAATCATTTTGAAGAAGGCAGTTTTCCTCAATGATGGAATAGAAAATAAAGGCATACATATAACATCAACAGTCCCTATCACTGTTTATGGTTTTCAAAGACATAGTAATGCGTGTGACGGATATGCTTCAATTCCAATCAAATACTTGTCAACAAAATACATAGTTGCATCTTTCACTGTATGGAAGCATCGTTCACTTTCGAAAAGTTTGATTGGAATTGTGTCATTAGGTGGACAGACAAAAGTACAAGTGCAACTAAAAATGAAACAAGGGACAGTTAGATTCAAAGGAAAACAGTTTGCAAATGGGGAAATTGTTCACATCAATATGTCTGCATTCCAAACATTACAATTGTCGCATAATTATGATCTTTCTGGATCAATGATTTCATCATCTAAACCAATAGGCGTTGTATCTGGGAACAAATGCAACTCTATTACACATTATGCATGCAATCCCTTTACAGAAATGATATTACCTGTTGATCAGCTAGATAATGAGTTTATAATTCCGATTATCCAAACGCGACCAAAAAGTACCGTTCGACTTGTATCTCCAGGAAAATGTCATATCAACATTCACCTCGAAAATAGACATTATGAAATTCACCTTAATGAGGGAGAGTACCATGACCTTATCCATAATGATATATCAGTCGTTCAGTCGACCGGTAATCTTCTTGTTACACTGTTTCCTTACGAGGCTAAAAGATTTGATTCATACATGATGACAGTGTACGGCATTAACCAATACAAATCCGATTACAAGTTTATTATACCAAGTAAATTTTCGAGTTATGTAAGCATTACTTTTTGTGGAGATGCTATTCGTGGATTTGAGATCGACGGTCATGAAATGAAGGCGAATAAAATTTTTGCAAAGACTGTTCATGGTAACAAGTATATTACATTCAGTTGTAGCATATCAGAAGGAGCTCATAGGATCAAAAACACTGTTGGCATAAGGTTCGGATTGTGGTTATATGGTAATCGCAGAAGCGACGGTTATGGTTATCCTGCTGGAATGGCTTTCCGGGGAAAAGAAGGCTAAAAGAACATCCACTATATAACCTAAGCAATTCCTTTATAAGTTAATGCTCATAAGAATTAATAAATGATTTAAATGCACTACATATTTCTTCTAGTTTGTTACAAACTCAGAAGGAAACCACTTCAATAGGATCATCCAAGGAAATATACATATATGATAGTGATGTCAGTATGCCCAAAAAAAAAATCTTAACCCAGACAATACCCTTCTGAAATATTATTCTAGGAAATCATATTAAACTCATCATAAATACCAGGATTGAAATTTTGTACGCAAGACGTGCTTTTCACCTCCAAAAAGACTTAACGCTCGAATCAATAAAGTAAAAATGGCAAAAAAAAAAGTACGAAGGTGAAGAGGTCACATGGGTGTGAAAGGTTTTGCCAAATAAGAAAATATTTTACTGGGATAGAAAATCCTTAGTATTACGAAAAAAATTGTAACAGTCAATTCATGATTATGACCATATTATTTTATAACAAATTTTGTGATGATGCATGAGTAAAAAGTATAAACTTTTGGATATGTGAAGACTTTAAAAGACTCCACATATGATTAAAACTGAAACAAAATTACTGAAAAAAATAAGGAACAACTCATTATTCATAAATAATTTATATATACTTTAAAGATTGTATTTCACTTAAAAAGAAGTTATTTAACATATAATTTTTTTTAAATTCTTAAATACAAAAAGAAGGAGATGATGTATGATTGACGATTAGATAACTATCCATCAAAGTTCACTTGAAGTGGATGTAAGCAGTTATAGACAACTGTACGGCCGTCAACAATGAGAAAACCCCATGTATACTTAAACGTTAAAATAAATTGCGAGTAGTTATTTTCGCTCCTTTATCATCACGTAAATGCAAATCTTCGATATAAATGTAACGAGCGGATATTTCGGTCTATGTGCGAATTACTAGTAAATCCTGACATTCTAATTCTATTCATCGGAATTGCGAAAATATTCACCCGTAAAAGTACAAATTCATCAAAAAACAAATTAAAAGTGTCACACTGTGTTATATTTATTATAAACAAAACGCGTCAAAAAGTAATGTATTTCATGCATTGTTGCAACAGACATGGTAATAGTCACAATCCACTCAATTTGTTAGGTTTGTTTCATTCTAGAAATAACTTTATGTCTATATCGAATGGGTAGAACTAGAAGAAAGGTATTGTACTGATGTTCATGTGTCATAAATCGAATAATACAAGTACAGCTGAACAAACATGTGAAAATTACATACACTCCAAAAAAAAAAGGCGAGACTGGGTACGTCAGGATCACATGCTTGTTTATGAAGTTTGTTTACTATAAAAATGCACAAGAGTGAAGTATTAATAGTAATATGTAAACGTTTAACGATGGCACAGAGGGTATATTACTTATAATTGTCGAGAAATTAAAAGTTTCAATCATCACCTTTGTCATAAATAATAGTTTAAAGTCATCCATCTATGCCAATATTAAAGGACAGATATATATGAGGCAGATTTTCTACTTTCGTTTGGTTTTCGTAATCTCAATTTCATTGCAAGCACTTACTGAAATGTGGATTATTGAGTGACTGGACATCAATAATCTATAAATGAATTAAAGAACACAATAAATCGGCCCTTTGGGTCAATCAAATAGTTTACATTGGCACATCGACTGTCTGTTTGAATATCAATTTTCAACTCCTCTCTCTTCACTCGTTTAATATACAACATCACGATATTTCCGAAGGCCATTTTTTTGCTGTAGAAATAAAGGCAACAGTAGTATACTGCTGTTCAAAAGTTATAAATCGATTGAGAGAAAACAAATCCGGGTTACAAACTAAAACCGAGGGAAACACATCAAATATGAGAAGGAAACAACGAAAAAACAGAAACACTGAAGTGCAAGAATGTTATTTAGAAATTAAGAAAGATGTAAATGTATCGGATCATTTATGAGTGATTGATTTCTCCTATGGAACGTACTTTTTAAAAAACGATAAAATGATCCGTCTGGTTTAAGTGTTTATATTGACTTTTATTGTATTTTGGTTATTGAGACTGGAACAAGGATAATTCATTCTGTCGTTCTGGTTTTTTTTGTGTTTCTCCTACATAGATCAGTCCACAAAGAATACATAACCAGTCTATGTCGTACACATTATAATGGTGGGGCTGTAAGACAAATATCTCATGCCGTTAATTTTATCTTTTGAATTATTTTACATTCGTCATTTCGGGGATTATGATATACATGATATATACTATATTGTATGCGTTTTTCTCATTGTTGGCTTATTCTAGAAGTGGCGTGAATCAGATGTGGATACTAAAAAATTCCAAAGATCTTTTAGAGTACATACAATCTAAGACTCTTTCATCTTGCAATAGTATTAAAACATATTACTTTTCTACACTAAACACAAGTATTCCCCATTCCAAACTAAAAGACAAATTAAAAGAATTAGTATTGCTTTGTATCATAAAACAGAATGACCAACGTAGATACAAATATCTTGTCTTAGGGAGGGACAAATCCTACTTTGTGAAAAATCACTCTGATTCGAGCAAAAATTCTCTGACACTGACATTATCAAGATGCTTGATTTCTTGATTGACAACATATTTGTTACGTTTGGAGGACGTGTTTTCAACAAACCATCGGCATTCCCATGGGAACCAACTTTACCCATTTTCTTGCGGACTTGTTCCTGTATGCTTATGAGGCTGATTTCAAACAGGGCATTCTTAAGAAGAAGGAAATGAAGTAAGCATTATCCTTTAACATTACTTTCCGCTATATATATAATTTTCTCTGACTAAATAACTCGAAATTTGGTGACTATGTTGAACGCGTCTATGCCATCGAATTAAAGATAACGGATACAACAGATACAGTTGAGTCTGTCTCATATCTTAACTTACATCTAGCAATTGACAATGAGTGTCGGTTGAAAACAAAACTTTTCGACAAAAGAGATGATTTTAGTTTCCCAATTGTGAACTTTCCATTTTTATGTAGCAACATTCCAGCAGCATCTGCATACGGTGTATACATATCCCAATTGATACGATATTCCCAGGCTTCAATTTTTTATCATTATTTCGTTTCCTTTTTCATGAATACTACCCGCCGAATTAGACTAATTACCGGGTTAGTACTTACATGAGAAACACGACGGGCGCTGAATGTGGAGCAAGATCTGACTACACTTCTGATGCACCTGAGATCAATCCCAGTTTTTTGTGGGGTTCGTGTTGCTTAGTCTTATTTTTCTATCTTGAATTTTGTGTACTATTGTTTTTCTGTCTTTTTCTGCATTAGCCATGGCATTGTCAGTTTATTTTCAACTTCTGAGTTTGACTGTTCCTCTGGTATCTTTCCTAACATGTTAAGTTCGATGTTAGTTGTATCTGTTGCGGTGTTGTCTCATTGTCAATCATTCACATCTTCTAATTTTACGATCATCTTTATATTGGGTTCTAATTTTGTCAATTATTTGATTTTAAACTGCTTTGAAAAATATTTAAGCAGGAAAGTAAACACAATAGTTTTGCTTCCTTTCAAAGGAACAAAGTAACGGAATCCAACATAGAGTTATCGGTTTAAAGTTTAAGGGTAATTTTAAGGCACCTAGTCCTGGCTTTGTTTGCTTTATACCACAATTGTAAAAGCCAAATATATAATGAACAATACAACCAAAGCGGCTAAAAAATTCATCGAATATATCACTCTTTTATTTTTGTACACCTGGCTGGTCATTCAAACTCGTTAGTCGAACACGGATAATGAAATTGCAAACAAATATAAACAAACGATCAAAAGACAAAACACAGTATACAAAACACAACATAGTAAACTAAAGGCTTAGAAACACGAAACCGTCTCAGATGCTCCAGACGGATATGCAGATCTTATCATGTTGTTCAATAACAAACCTTCATTAAATAGCTTATCAAAGATACCGTTCTTTATTTTAAGTTAACATGAGTCGTGCAAGACTCGTCAGTGGCGCTTGAATCAAAATAGTTTTATGGACAAATCATGAGAAGAAATAAAATCACCAAACATATTTAAAAAAAAAAGTTGCTCTTTTCTTTATTTTAAGCTTGCTCATAGAAAATGTATTGTGTTTTGAAAACCTTATTAAATTGATTTGGTTTTAAACATTTTTGAAAAGTAATAACTTTGATAAATTTTAATTAAAATAATTTAACTTTAGAAAGAAAAAAACACTTTGACGATATTTCATGTTAACACATAATTGATGACAACTGGTATGATTAAATTTTAAGGAACGAGATATCCGTGCTATATACTATACATAGGCGCTTATCAAATATACCGGCTTCTATTTAAATTCACCAGGCAATACCGATTACAAAAGACATATTTGCGGATTTATAATAAAAACCTTCGGAAGACCAAATTAATATAAATCAATAACTTAATGAAGAGCATTCAAAACCAAGCATTTCAATCCTTACTTTAACAACTTTTTACTAGGGGATAGAAAACCTTTAGTAACTTTGTTGTCGTCTTCTGTGTGGTGAAATTCAGCAGTCTGGGACTACTTGAGGTTTCCATAATATATCTTATGGACACCATTCATTTTTTGCCAGTAGGTGTACAGTTTTTTGTTTAATTGTACATGCTCCCCCTACACATTAAAATAGCTGAAACTATTTAAATGCCCCGCAGAAAAAATAACTCCCAAAAACATCATGTACTGTAAGGTTTCATGTTATGACTTAATACCAATTGATTGTCAAATCAATTATCATATAGAAAATAGGGAATCTTTTCAGATTTATTTCAGGAAGCACAAGACAAACACAGATTTTGTCTTCTGCGAAAAATTACTAGGGCTATTATCATTTATGCTTTATTTAAACTACGTAATTTTATGCGCTATGATGCTTTGCATTTAATACAAATTAATACCCATTTTGGACGCAAACAATTAGAATTGATAAGGAAAGTCTTCACTGGACTGGCCTTGACTGTTTTATAAAGTAGTGAGAGTCCAGTCCAGTCCAGTCCAGTCAAGATATAACACTTTGTTCCAGCAATGGA